TATGTAGATAAATTTTATACTATACATAATTTACCTCTCATGATGTAGCGAATTGTTTTAAGGGATCTCTGCGCCAAGAGATCCTTTATTCGTTGCTTGACTGCAGGCGGACAACCAGTGCAAGCTTCTAAAAGTACATAATCTATTAACTGTAATATAAATAACCGGCCGTCTAATCTTCTCGAGTACAATTCTTCTTCGTCTTCATCGTCCTCGTCCTTATGATAAAAATAAAAACAGAGTGTAAATTTTTATACGTCTTCATTTTTAGATGTCTCTGTTAAATGTTTTTCCATTGTGCACGTACCTTCCCATTCACTTCTTCTACCTTCTTTTTCACTTCTTCTACCTTTTCAAGATACTTGAAATGTAATTCCATTAATCTATCCACTTTCTCATAATCATTCTCCGTAAAATAAGAAAGTAATGTTTGACGCTGTTGTCCTTTACAGTTCTTTAACAAGCTTGCTATGATTGAAATCACGTGTTCTGCAAAATTAATTATTTATTATTTCGCTATAAACAGTTAAATAAGTTGAAATTTTGCTTACTAATATTAACAGATATATCGAGGCCATACTTTCATCGTCTTCTGCAGTAAGTTCTCGCATTCTATTTCTATTTCTTGTTGGGGTTTTCATAAACAGAGGAAATATAGTTCGCAATCCAAGAATATCTACAAATTTGCTGCAGTTATCTTTTCCGTCCGGGCCATTCATAGCGTGATCTAAAACCTATAATTTAACTATAGTAATTTATATAAATCCAACAAAGTCTGTTGCGAATAAACCCACTTTGAGAGATCCATTCCATGACATCTTTTTTTCTCGTAACATTAAGTTCATAAGTTGGAGGCCTTTGTCACGCAGAAATCTATCTCGATTTACAGTAGCCATTAAGCTTGAGCACAAAACGTCAAACAAATGTCTCATTATCCCTTCAACCTCATATTTCTCTCTATTCTGCGATCTCGGTAAATACTGTAAATAATCGGTTTTAAGATAATTCAGTTTGGTAATGTTATACGCAAGGACTTAGAGAAACATACAAATACACACAGCTAATTGTTGTAGCAAAACATGAATTCCAGCCAAGTCACCTAAAAGGAGTCTATTTTCTGGCGTATGCTGCACAAGTTTATATAGGAGAGAACAGGCCCAACAATCGTTGAAGTCAAAAAATGTTTTTGTTATAATTTTAACTCGACGTAACAACCATTGCATCAATCCCTGCTTTCCCGCATCCGCACATATATCTGGTCTAAATTCCAGTAGTTTGTCAAAAAACTCTGGAAATCAAAACCGTCGTTCAGTTAATTTAGTAGAAACATTATTTTGCAGAAAGATAAACAATATGCACGTTTATTAAGTAATTACCAAGTGTGAGACAAACACCGGTGTCCTCTTTAACCACTGTTTCATCAAGCCTCTCGAGATTTTGTACTAGGAGAGCGAAAACTTGTTGCTCCAACAAAGCATTGATAAATGTATCAGCGCTTTCTTTCTGAATTGCGTCTAATATATTGTAATATGTATCGTAAGTAAAATCGAACAGAAGCTTTACCACACCAACTGCTATATCGGTATTTTCATGAGACAACAATTCTAGTAAAGAAGGTACGGCGCCTAATTTTACCATTAATATACAATACAAATATAGATTGGTTGGATTGGCTACTGCAATTCGAAGCTTTTGCATAGTTTCTTGCAGTTCTACTTCGGATTCCATAAACCTGCAAAAGGCCAAAAAAAAATCGAAAACAATTATACATTGAGATTGCCATCCGACATTTAGCTTCTACGTATTCATCTACTTCTCCGGTTGATCTGGGAATTTGACTCTCATCTTTTGATTCCTGAGAGCTCTCTTCTCAAATAGAAGGATCAGACGTTCGAGCGTCGCTTCATCCAACGCTTCGACTTTAGGCGCCTTAGTTTCCTTATTCAATATATCTTGTTTTTCCTTCTCCGTTAGTTCGTCGAGCTTCTTAGACTGTCGTTGACTCTCCCATTCATCGTCATCGTCTTCCTCTCCCGCTGCCGGTCGTTTCAATGTGCTTGGGGGCTGTACATATTACCATCGTTTAATTATCATATCGCCGTTATTTGTAACGGACGGAAAAGCAAATCGTGAAATTTTCAATTTCACAATGAAAATTTCCGATAAATCAAAAGTCATGACACATAAGTGAGAGGTTAAATTAAACAAAATATATTACTTTCGAGATAAATATAAATTATACAGCCGCTGCAGAATAATTCCAATACGCACCTTATAAGATGAAAGTTCTCCGATATCCATTTGCCAAAAATAGATCACAAACTTTTAAAAATTATGTTTTGTAAGGTATCGCCCGGTCCGTAGCTCAGGTTATCCCGACGGCAAGGACAAGGGCGGCGATTCAGGATGGATAGTAAAGGGTGTAGAAAAAGGTGAAACTCGATGAAACGCGTAACAGACTTTACTTGTAATATACACGCAGTATACGTCCACACGGCTCGGTCGCCAGACAACGAGACATCCGAGACAACGACTCTCTCGAGTCACAGTTCGAAAGTTCGAACAGGGTGTGAGGGTGTGTCGCTACCGCGCGCGTCTCTCTCAGCCAATCACGGCGCGCTTACTATAACCAATCATCATGCGCCAATGGCTGCGTTCGGCCGAACCTCTGCTTAGCGAAGCGGAAGGTAGCAATTAAGTGTAATTGGTTGGATCCAAAGGTAAGAACCAATCACATTCAGTTGCTACCTTTCGCTTCGCTAAGCAGAGGTTCGGCTGGACACGGCCATTACAACCAATCACCGCTCGTGGGGTCGCTAGGCGCAAAGTGTATATGTGCACGAGCGCCTCGTAGGTGAACGCGGGGAATTCAAATACGGCCTATGTCCTTAGTCGACGTTTACAGTTTAAAATATGTAAAAAATTTGGTAATTATTTAGAATACGCGTTGCACCTCAAATGTCAATAAAATTATGCTCATTCGACGCGTTTTGACACGAAATAAAAAAATCTGGCAGAAAAATGCGGCGGTCTGCCCTGCGAAAAAAAAAGATGAGAATAATAATAATAATAATAATAATAATAATAATAATATATATATTCATAAATAATATTGATAAAGATAAGATAATATTGAAAATATTGTTTATATTATAATTAAATATATACGTGCCCTTTTCTGCGCTTCTTATTGCTAATTTTGTTAACCTTATTTGATTTTATTTGCATCAATTTATATATATATTTTTTTTGTTAAAATACGTTAAATTTCAAATAAATATCCTAACATGTAGTAACATGTTTACATGTACAGATAAGAACCACTTGTTCTGATGATTTCACCAAAAGTACAAAAATATTTTTGAGATATATATACCCTATATTTAATATCTTTTTTAATTAAAATAACACATTTTATGTAAAATAATCATAAAATAAATATTGAATCATAAATTCAATGAATAGCCAAGTTGTAGGAAGAACTTAAACATGTGGATGTTGTCGTTAGTCATGATCAATTTCGATAAATACTTGAAAATTTTGTCAAAATTTTGTGTCAAATTTCAAAAATAATTAGATAACTGCTTTCTTGTCTAATTGTAAGTCATAAACAATCTATAAAATTTAAATTTAAAGAAAACTTTTATTTATAATTTTATACTTCCTCCCTCGCCACCAAAAGCACTTTGGATGTACATATAAGAAATCAAATTTTTAATTTTCGTATTACGTATATAAACAGAGTTCTATCTTGAATTCTGACAAATAGTAAACTCATCTGCAGTAGATTTTTTGCATTAATAACTTTTAATTGAATTGCATTCAAATTATACACATGCAAGAAAAAAATAGATTTCATACGTATATATATGAATGTTCATGAATTTTCTTTATGTAGCACATGCACGAATTGTCGCTTTGAAAAATGTCACGAATGCATTAATTCGTTTATACAAAATCTTATGCGCCTTCTTACGTTCCAATAATAACACGCACTCATCGAAAATGAGAGAAAAGAACTTACTTGCTTCTCTTTCATTATGCGTATTTTCTTTCTCGCTGAATCTTGATTATAGTTAAACTTGAGATTTTACGTTTCTCTGCAGACGACATGCTTCGATAATATTCCAATACCGCCCGGATGATAAAATTATTAGACTAATGCGTGTACAGATTACAATTACAGATGTAGGGCAACTGATTTCTTTTATACCTCTTTCGTCAAATTAAGTAACAAGCTATTACGCTTCTTCTCCTTTTCTTTTTAGATGCTACCGGCTCTCCTACGGGTGCGAGGTGCCGTACGACCACGATCCAGTCGGTAACAAACTATTACGCGAATAAACATATGAACATGGCCACTGCAATGATGGCTGATTCGATCCCCAGCGTCGCGGCCCCTCTGTGCCACCGATGCTTTCTTTTGTCATGTATAGCATTTAAAAACCTTATATTCTATTGTTGAGTACATTTTGAAATTTACTGATGTATTGAAAATCTATAATTATGGATTTTCAGTACTGTTAATACGCTTAGGAATAATGCACTCTTTATTTTTAAGCTACGTTCAGCAGAAAAATTAACTTAATGATTCTTTATTATGATCGATTTACTTTAGATATAAGATATTTAGATGCAATGAATAACTAATACTAGATATGCATGAAAAATTTTTATAACTGACGACTATTTTCACTGACACTGAGATTAACTTTAAAACATTAGAATTTCATTCAAGTTTTACGCGGTCAAGTTTTGCAGTAATAATTAACGAGTATCTCTCTCGACTTTCTGATTTATGCAATAATTGCATCTTTAAAATATGCTAGCAAAATAATAAACGAACTAATAAATTCGATGACTGATATATCACAAACTTCTTTCATTATGTACATAGTAATATTAATTGCTTCTACCCGATTTTGTAGTTCACACTTTATCTCTCTTATCCCTTGTTTTCAAATTACCTTCTCCTGAAGCGACAATTATATAAAATTTCATTTCGAATTAAGTGCAGAAACTAGTTAACCAAAAAAAATTTTTTATTTTTATTTCAAAAACAAATCTAGATTTCGAAAGAAGTTATCAAATTTAACTCGTGTAGCTGATCTCTAATTTGTGCGAATTTTCTTTTTCCATGTGCAGATGATTGGATCGTATATTTCTATTAAATCGAATATCTCTATACGTAATTTGCTCAACATCACTTATGCCTCTGAATTAGAAATAAAGAAAAATAAAATAACGAAATATAAGTTTACACTTAATCTTTTATCTATATGTATTAAGCAATAATTATAAATTTGATTCTGTTTCAATTTAATCACATTTTATTGAACTCTCAAATTAATGACAATATCGAAAACGTATACATGCGACAAATACTGAAGAACAAAAATAAAATTTAAATTTATGAAAAATTAACTCGTTAAAAAAGGTAGTTGCTAAAAGACTGACATCATTAATATGTACACAGGATGATCTACAGAACGATTGGAAATTTTAATAAGATATA